GGATGGGAAGATACAGACCGGGCGATTACTCACCCACGCCATCAATTCAGACTCAAAAGAGATGTGAGGAAATGCCCTCCCCAGCAGGAGCTCTCCCGGGACCCAGCACTGTTTTGCAGTCACATTTCCTAGCTTGCAATGGGAAAATGAATGTTGTTTACAAGAGCTTGAAGTAGCTGAAATGGGAATATGAGCCCAGCCGTGTCGTCGAGGGCAAAATCCTACTTGGAAGTGTTCAGTGGTCCTGAAATACAGGCTCCACAATGAAGAACGTTATTTCTGCTCCCTTGGAAGATGAAATATTATATTCGTTGGTAAGCAGAATCCATGACCACTTAAAAACAGACCCAGCCCCACAGAAGCTATTTGACATGAAACAATGGTTGGTATCTGGCTGCCTGGAGCTCTAGGGACTGGCTTTTGGCTGGTTGGTTTCCATTGACTTTTTCTCAGCTTTTAAACCACCAGAGAGGAGTAGATGCAGTAGATAAGAGAAAATAGCTGTGGCATGCTGTTCTCCCCCGCTCCCCATGCCCACCCTCTCTCTGTTCCCAGAATAATACAAGTTTTCTTCTCTTTCAGATGAAAATGCCTTCTCTTTTAGCCCTGTTTGCCTCCTCTTTCTCTCTCTCCTCCCCCCAGTTAACTCAATAATACCATCTGCTGTATGGACTGTTGGCATCTGTCTTCTAAAAGTGTTGAATTGGAACGCAAAAGCAAATAATAACAAGGATAACCAGGGGAGAAAAATGTCTTGAAATACAAAATCAACACTTTAAAATTTCTGAGAAACCATTTGGTCTCAATGTCCACTTTGGTAAGAATTAGGAGGAACACAAGATTAAGGGGGATGTTTTCAGACTCATGTTTTTTGGCAGTGACCACCTGAGATCATGAAACATCGAGTCATTTATTCCTTCAGCAGATAGCTTAGGATGTTTCTGAGTTCCGTATGTTGTATATATAATTAAAAGTAAGACCCTAGCTGGGCACCAGTGGTTCATGCCTGCAATCCTGGCTACTTAGGAGGCTGAGATTTGAGGATCATGAATCAAAGACATTTTCAGTTAACCATAAATAAATAAATAAGCCAAAAGAGCTGTGGCTCAAGTAGTAGCATGCCAGTCTTGAGTGGAAACTTTTTGCTAAATGATAGGCCCTGAGTTCAAGCTGTTCTGTACTCTCTTGCAGCTTATCTAAACAAAAAAAATCAAGTAATAATTAATGATAAAGTACTACAAGTTATGCAGTGGGATAAAAGTAGAGAATGACTCTCCTGCATTGTTTCTTCTTGAGTCAGCTTTGGGACCAGAACTGCACCCTGGCTTGTTGACTGCAGACTTGAGCTTCTTAGCCAGCCTGTTGGTCTTGTGTCTCTGGTGGACTCAGAACTCATGCAGTGAAATGATCAACAATGACTTCCAGCCCTGAGGTGCTGGATTTTACTTATCTGACAATAGCCTACCTTTGCTTTTCAAAAACCTCTCTCTGATAGAGAGACTGTGGTGAGCATTGGCAGAAATTTGACAAAATGCAGGAAAGATTTTCTTCAAAGACAAAAAAAAAAAGCCTGAAGCTTGAGATGGAGGTAGGGTACTAGGAAGTAATAGGTAAGAACAGCTAACATTAACTGACCCATTTCTAAATGAAACGAGCAAATCAGAGATGGTTGACTACTTGGGAAATGTCAGGAGACCAGAGGTCTATGGATGAGGGAACATTTGAGCTGGTTACTGATTTCTTGGCTCACATTAATCACTATAAGAACCAATGCTATTTTAATTACTTTTCTGTTATTTAAATAAGAAGGAAGTCTGTTTCTATCTTCAATGGACACTAAAATGGCAACTTGCAGCCCCTAGGGGTGGTAGAGCTGGTTTGTCACCTTGAATCTGAGGATTTCACCTTTGAGTTCCAGTTCTCATTGTTTCCCCCAACATAGGGAAGCAGAAAAGGGCCCAGTGAGGTGCCTTTCCCTTTTGAGATCCTGAGATGGAAGTAATGCCTATTTTGCTCAGGACAACCAACCAGAATTAGATACTATACCCATACTGCACTAGCGTGGCTGCTAGAAGGCTACATGCTCAAAACTCAACCCTTTTGGCCATAGAAGACTGCTGATCCTGTGCAATAATTAGCAAGTTGTTACAAGCTCCCAAGAGATTACATTTTCCTTCCATACGAGAGTGTGCACATGCTCTAGTGTAGCCATTGGCACACATATTCCATGTTCTCAGTGGACTGAGTGCCCTACTGGAAGAGCCCATGTGGAGAACTGGAGAAGCCACCCACACAACATGGGGCTTAGTTGCCATCTATCTGTCTTGGGGAAACAGAGCACCTGTTACTGTGTGTACCCAAGTCGACCCCTACACAGGCACACATGCCAATGAGCAAAATCAATCACTTACCTGAAGCTCTCTCGTGGGTTGGTGACCTAAACACACACTAAGTGTGTTTCTTTTTGAGAAGATATTCCTCCCTGTAGTCAGGGGATGAATATAGGAAAAGAAACTTTGTAGTAAATGGAGCTGCTTACATTTTTTTTAATGTTTTTCTTTTGCACTTCTACCCCCTGAAATAACTCTGTCTGACAGGTTGCAGTCATGCTCGAGTAGGTTTTAAACACCAGCAGAGGCCAGGAAAGACAAGTGAGATGCATAGATACTCCTCGTGTGTGTGTGTGTGTGTGTGTGTGTGTGTGTGTGTGTGTGTGTGTGTTACTTCATAAGCTGATGTTAGAAACTCAATTTAAGCCTGGCTACTCTATATGCTGTCTGACAGCAGAAGAGAATTCAAAGTAACAAGATGTGAAGTACCTTAGGGAGCTCTTTCCTCCATGGCCATCCGAGAGGGACCATCAAAAATGTTAGGGAACCATGGAGAACAGTGACTAGCTGTTAGGAATGAAAAAATCTGATCTGGTCACTGGTCAACCTAAAAACCCCTCAGAGCTTCCTGATGCCCTCAGTATGAAGTCCGATATCTCTCATGGCTAGCCAGATCTCCCATAGCCTGTGCATCTACTTCAGGGGTGCACAAGACTCCTTTCCTCACACTATTGCTCCTGCCATATTGGCCTCCTAGCCCATCAGATACCACTGACTCTCCTTCCTAAGAGTCTTGTGCAATTGGTTCTGCTGTCTGGAACAGTTTTCTTCAACTCCAGGATGCTTCCTGCTCCTCAGCTTTGGCTAGGAAACCATGCTAAAGAGCCCTCTGCTTGGCCTTTCAGAGTACTTACTGCCTGCCCGTGGCTTGTGTCTTCTTCAAGAGACTATCAACTCCCTGCAGGAAAATGCCATGTCTGCCTCATTCATCCCAGGAACCACTCTACCTGTCCTCATGCCTGACCACAGAAATCACCCGTAAGTGAATCAATGTCTCCACACTTTTAAACCTAGTGCTCTGAGCTGGATGGATGGCATTTCCAGTGGGTTCTTCCCGCGTTGTCTCTTCCAGATCTAGCTGGGAAACTAGGAAGTGTGAAGGGCAGGCCTTATGGGTGGGGATCCTGAGGGAGGAATGGCAGCCTGAGAGCCAGGCCAGGACTCGTGCTGTGAAATGGGAATCTTTTCAAGGGCAGTGACCCTGTGCTGCTGGAACTCCTCAGCAACGAAGTGGAATTGTTATGCAGCGTGGATAATTCACCTGTGGAAAAAACAAATCAGGCTTCACAGTAGTGCTACTTTTTTGCCATTAAATCTCAACTGAAACCCTAAGCTATGCTGGATTCAGTCATTCCCCTAATAGTATAGTATCCCGAGCCAGCCGAGCCACCTCTGAGCCGAGCAAGAAAGTTCTTGGAATTACCATGGAAAGACCAATGGGAATCTAGAGAGCTCAGAGCCTGGCATAATGCTAACTTGGACTCTTTCGACTTGAACCAGTGAGGAATGAGCCTGCATATCTAGCTGGGTTTTGTCTCCTGGGTTCATGTCATTTGGTCAATCGTCTCTAAATCACCTATTCAGCAAGTCACCGTGTGAATACCTACTGTCTACTACCTTCAGAGCCAGCAACCAAAGGGCAATGACTGCTTTATCCAAAATGCTTACAGCTAACACAGAGACACACAAACCTGGGGGAAGATAAGCCCAGCAATGTGCTTATTTGCATGATACAGTAAATGCTATTTGGATGCTACACCTCAGCACTGTGGAAAGATACGCCATGAGCAATCAAGCATACCCTCTTAAGCTCCTACCGGGTATATTTTTGGTTGCACTCTGTCACCCAGTATAGTGTGCAAGGGTTCTCAGTTCCCCACACACTTCACATTCCAGTGCTGTGTAGAAGCAGCCTCTACTCCAAACAAGTGCCCCAGTCTGTCCTTGTATGTAAATGAGCTTAAAATACTTTTCTGTTCAAGTCTATGAGTTAGGCTGTCCATCAATTGCGAACAAAAGAGGCCTTACTGATTTGTTCTTACAAGAAGATTCTGAACGAAGTTTAAATCACTCTGTGTTTATTCATTTTGGTACATCTTTCTTCCCAGAGAGAAAACATATGGTCTGAGGGACACCAATGGCTTTATATCCTGAATGTCCATGTCCATTCATCAAATTTGGTGTCAGTACGCAGACTGATTACAAATGTTCCCTGAGGTCACCAAGACTCTGCCTTCAGCCACAGCAGCAGTATCTTTCCCTAGCAAAAATTGAGAAGGAAATACAGTACTCTGAAGGTCATTTTGGTGGTTGAAGAGGTAGAATTCTTGAGCAAATAAAAAGTACAAAGTCAACCAAGCTACTAATTCCATTCTAGCTGCTTGTGAATTATTATTGTCTCTTCAACATCTCCAGATGTTCCAGAAGGGAAACTGAGGCATCAAGAGCAAAGATGCTTTGTGTGCAGCACAGCACCGACATGAGTAAGAAGGGACTGTTGTGGAGCTGTAGAGAGAGACGCTGTGTCACAGCACTGTGCACAAAGCAACTCTGTTTTTGATCCCTCCATAAAACAGAGCCAAGAGGTACAGGCAGCCTTTCCCTACTCTAGATATGGACAGAGGTGGGGTGGGATGGGGTGGTTATCCTATCACATGCTCAGTCAGGCCTAAAGTGCTTCACACAATGGTCCAATGTCATAGCAGCTACTAATCCTTCAAATAGGACCAGGTCAAGACTTTCTGGATTCCTACCTTAAACCCCAGCCAATTTAAGTCAGCAAAGCAAAAGGCAAATGGGCATCAGCCAATGTCTCCAATGTTCACACACACACACACACACACACACGCACACAAGGTCAGCTCTGAATAGAGGGACAGCTGTCAGCAGTCCCTCCTGAATTACAAGAAAGCACATTCTGGAAAGTTCCAACCTGGCTGAGAATGGCTGCCTTTACATTTTGTTTTCCTTCCTCCACCTACCATGGGTGCTTCTGTAACCTATGGAGTAATCCTATGTAAAATAGGCAAGCAGAGGTTTTCCTGTCCCGCATTCAATGGTGGAAGAAAGCAACCCCACCAGCCAGGGCAGTAAAAAGAGGAAGGAAGCCAGTGAGCCAGACATCAGGCAGATGTGCTTTGGGATATGTGCTAAAGGAAGTGCACTTCTCTGACGACAGAAATGGGAGGAAGGCTGAGCATCAGTGGATGGTGATACTTCCAAAGATGCAAGAGTTCCGACGAGTCTTTCTTATGATTTCTTGAGGTAGTTCTGACAAGCTTTTGCTGTGTCGTTTAAGAAATTTGGAACTCCATTCTGCAAAGGAAAAAAAAGACCTTGTCATTTCTATGACTCAATTCTTTGGGATGGGCAAAAGGTTAAACAACATGGCACTGGGCATAAGAAAGGCAATGGAGCCTTTAGCCAGATTTCAACACAACATTGTCTCAAATAATGAGGAAAGGAAAGACTCTAGCATAAGTAAGACAGGCATGGTGGCCCACACCTGCAATCCCACCGACTCAAGAGATAGAGCAAGAAGGATCACAGTTTCAGATCAGTCTGGACCAAAAAAAAACCAAACAAAAAGTTAGCAAGACCCTACTCTCAAAAAATAAGCCAGGCCATCTGTAAGGCAGTAATCCCAGTTACTTGGGAGATGGAGGTAGATAGGAGGATAAAGATCTAAAGCTGTTCTGGGCAGAAGCCCAGAAAATAAACTGAAAAATATCTGAAAAAAAAATAAAGCAGCACTCAAGTGGTAGGTCATATGTTCAAACCCTAGTAGCTCAGGGAAAAACAGAGAGAGAGTGTGTGTGTGCAGAGGACAGAAACTACTGCATATACTATCTTACATTTTTAGTTTTATTAATTAAAAGAGCTTTCTGAGACCTTTCTTGAAGAAAAAAAAAAGCAGACACTGGAAATGGGGTTGAGTTAAAAATTGTGGAATTCTTCAAAAAAAAAAAGTGAGAGGAAAAACTTGCTTTATAGACCTAGAACAGGCTAAGGCTTTGGCAATCAGAGTATAGGGTATCTTGCTATTTAATTAAGTGTTCCATATTATGTGAGCCTTTTCCCCAAACTCTGTCTTATTCATTCCTGTTCTGTAGGGCAGGGGATACCCATCTCCATTATTAAAAAGCAAGAAATTTATAAATAGAACAAGCAAGTCATAGAGCCACGATTCAAAAATCACATCTGTGCAACTCCTCGAAGCTGCTCAGCCTTCTCATCGTTCCTGTATAAAGCAGGTTGAAGGTCCCCATGATGCCAGGACCTCAGACCACCATAGCAATCCCTTCTTCCCACAGAAGAACAAAGCCACAGTGACAAAACTGGAGGCTTCCTTTAGGCCTGCACACATCCGGCTGTCTCCAAGCCCAGTTTGTTTGTCCTACACCTTCCTAAGCAGACATGGGGCCTGGGGGACTATTGTTCCTAGAGGGAGCACTCTATTGTTCGAAGGTTCCAGAGAGTGATCCTGGCAGGGTCTGGGGCCACTACCAGGGAGGGGCTGGCATTCCAAGCTACAGATTCTTTTGTCTTTTGTTCCAGCCTTCATCCTGGGTATTGGCAAGCCCAGCCCTAACCAAAGTCACTCAACCAAAGTCTTCATAAAGGAGCCTCATTACGCCAGGGACAATGTGTCTCTTCAGCCTGACAGCTCCAGAGGCTAAGTCAACATTTGTCAAGCATACTTACCCCTCCCCACCCCCCTCTGCCGCCCAGGATCTCACCTTGGCCGCCCAGTTAATGAGCCAGGACGGAATGTGGCCACCCGGGTTATCGAAGTAATACATGAAAACTGAAGGGGGGAAAAATGACAATTCAGAAAGGGGGGGAAGCATCGGAAAAAGTGCAACAACAAAATGCCCACAGGTTTTGTATCATCAGACTCCAGCCCAGAAAGCACAGGGAAAGGTAGCAAGCACATATTCCCAAGTGAACCTTTCTCTACCCACTTACTTTGAAGGTATTTACAAATAAGAATTCTTGAAAACAGCCACAGGCATATTTTTCTACTATTTATTGAACATTTGGCAGGTGCTAGTCACTTGAACAGAGTCTCTCGTTTTTTGTTATCATCACAACCGAAAAGGAACTGGCAGAATGAATCTTATTTTATAAATGATGAAATGGAGACTCATGGAAGTCAAGGAGACAGACCTAACATGCAGATGTATGCTTCAGATTTTGCCTAGGACGCAGGTCACACTCACTGCAATAAAGCAGGTGGCTGCAAGCCCCAATCTGTATCCACACATCCCTCTTTGACGGGTGGGGGGGGGGACACTAGAATTCAAGGTAGACAGGTCCTGAGTCTCTGCCTTTTTCTTAAATGGAAGTCACATCTTCCAGTACATCTGCCCCGCCCCCCATCTTGTCCACACCCAGGCCTAGCCTATGTATCCTAGGATCAGCCAAAGTGACTTTCTAAACCATCTGGTTTACTTGTGGTGTTTTGTTTTGTTTTGTGGGTCTTGGAGCTTGAACTCAGGACCTGGGTGCTAGCCCAGGGTGCCTCTTTGTGCTCAAGGCTAGCACTCTATCTATCACTGGAGGCACAGCATCACTCCCAGCTTTATTGAGTAGTTTATTGGAGATAAGTCTCACAGGGACTTTTCTGCCCAGGCTGGCTTCCAACCACAACCCTCAGATCTCAGCCTCCTGAGTAGCTAGGATTATAGGCATGAGCCACCCATACCTGCCTACTTATAGTGTTTTGATAAGGCAGGAGGTGGTAACAAAAACAAATTGGATCACACTGAAACATGTACCTCAGGCTCTCGCCAAGATTGGGGGACAGAGGTAGGACCTCTCCTCCCCATGGCTGATCCAAGGCCTGCTTTGCCCCATGCCCTCCCCTGTCCTCTGTGTATATAACATGTATAGGACATGCCTTCCAAGCAGCCCAGGCTTCCTGTTGGCCTGCGCTGGACGAGCTGCCACATGAACTGCACCTTCGCTTTTACCTTTGCTCCCTTTCTTGCCATCGCTCTCAATGGCCAGGCTCTGCTTGTACTGCTTCACTCGGATCACACCCGACTTCTCAGGAAACTGAGGCACAGAGGTACTCTGAGCCAGGACCACATGGATCTTCCGTCCTTCCACCTCCATTTCTCGCTGCTGCCGGATGAAGACATACTGCATGGCCAGTCAAGGCATGCCAACACCAGCACGGCAAACGGGCAAGAGGAAGCCTCCTAAGTCAGAGGCAAAGCAGGGGTAGGGGATTCCGCACCTCCAGCATGGCACTTCTGTGCTCCTGGGTAAAGTAGTCAACCTCTCTGAGACTCAATGTCCCAAGCTAGGGAAAGGTAGTGCTCTTGGTCATATTAGTCTCCAGGCAAGACTGCTCAAAGCAGGAGAGAGAGCCTGGGACAGAATAAATGATTGGTCATTTTTGTCCTGTTCTTAGAACTATAATTACAGACATCTAGCAATCATATGAAGTTGTTTCATCTCTATAGGTGTTTACAGATCAGCCACTAGCTCTGTTCCAGAAGATAATTACAACCTAAGAGACGTTGATACAAATGCCCCCATTCCTCAGACAGCAACTCTGAGGCTCCACGAGGAAAAGAAACGTATCCAAAGTTCCACAATCTAGCTGAAATGAAAGAAACTGACTGACTGACTGAACTCACATCTGGCTACCTGTGATGTCACAGCCAGATGGGGCTCAAACATTAAATGAGTTCATTACAGTTTCATAGGTTCAAATAAAAGAATGTGGGGTTTCAAACTAGCTGCCTAGAACAGTAAAAAAAATAAAATAAAAGGGCTGGGAAGGTGGCTCAGTGGTAGAGTGCTTGCCTCGCACGCATGAGACCCTGGGTTCAATTCCTCAGCACCATATAAACAGAAAAAGCCAGAAGTGGTGCTGTGGCTCAAGTGGTAGAGTGCTAGCCTTGAGCTGAGGAGCTGAGGGAGAGCGCCCAGGCCCAGAGTTCAGGCCTAGGACACTCTGAGGCAACACAACTGCATTTGAGAAAACACAGTAACTGCACCTCCAGACACCTCCATGTCCCTACAGCCCCCTCTGCCCCTGCCCCGCTCCCCGGGGTCTGGATGGGGAAAGCTCTTCCATGTTTCTGGGAAGGCTGTTGCGGTCCTCCCTCTGGCCTCGGGCTCTTCTCTCCCAAGCCTTGAACTTTTTCCTTACAGCAAATGATTGTTCCAGTCGCTCCGCAGCTTGCTTGGCACATCACCAGACACTCCATGGACGACAAGTTACCTGATACATTGATTAAAACCTGGCACAGTACCTGTGTTCACCCTGTGGCTGTGAGTTCACTAAGACCCAGAGAAGTGAAGGGCTGTTCTTCATGGTCAAACATGGTCTTAACTTGGGGTCCTTTGTTCCCAAACAAATGTTCTTTTTTATTGCACTGTTTCCTCTGGTCAATAAGTTAATAGCCCTTAGAGACATACAGAAAAGCTAGGAAACTCATTTTGTTTTCTGGCCACCATAAAGTCCCTTCATTTCATGTGGCCACTTCATTGCATAAGCAAGGCAGTGGAGAGACAGAGGCATACACCCAGTGTCCAGAGCCAATAGTGAAGAGGACGGTGAGGTTGGAGGGGGAGGGGGGCCTGGGAGAAGGGGGGAGTCAGCTGAGACAGGAGGGAGTCTTGAGGAGAGCAGAAAGTGCAGGAATGGGTGCCAGTGCCTGTATCCCATTCGCCTGCATGCCTGTCATCTGTTCTGTGGAAGGGTCTGGACCACTAGGCTTCATAAAGTGATCCTTTCGAGCCCCCAACTCCATGAGCCAACAATTTCCAGCCTAGGACAGTTTCTCCAGAGAGCATGAGCTGCCCTGTAGTGACCCTGTGGTCAGACCCAGAAATCACACTTTGAGCCTCTGAGAAAAAAAATGAGTCACACAAGAAGTCACAGTTCCAACAGATCCTCCCATAAAGACTGAAGACAGTATTGTCCACACAGCTGAAAAATGAGATTTAGCTCACACATCAGCCAGGGGCCAAGGGCACAGACCACGCAGGAGCTGAGGAGGTGTGGGGGGGGTGGAGGCATGGTGGGCTTTGAAGGGTTGAAGGATACATCTCTGTTGGACATGGGGAAGGGGTACTTGACTTCCCAGTACACCACTGTCTTTCCATCGCATTCCTTTTCATAGAGCTCTACAGGAGAACAGAAGAAGTTAGTACGTCCGGAGTCTTCTGTGGTTTCAAGTCACAAGAAACCTGGATAGCTTCATCATGCATAATACACCACTAACTCATATTTTTTGTACCAGTACTGGGGGGGCTTGAACTCACGGCCTGGGTGCTGTCCCTTAGCTTTTTCACTCAAGCCTGATGCTCTCCCACTTGAGCCATCCTCCTACTTCTACCTCTTTTGCTAACTAGTTAGAGATAAGAGTCTCTTGGGGAGCTAGGATTATAGGCTTGAGCCACCAGCACCTGGCAAATATATTTTTTAAAAGTCTTGTAGTTTCATGACCACCAAAAGGACATAAAAAAATACAGCAAAAGCCAACAGAGCCCAAGAAAATTTGTACTGTGCACAGTATAAACAATATTCTGGGACAGACTGCATTGAAAAGATGTCGATGTGAAAAAAACCAAGTTAGAAGTGTTTTAATGAGTTAGCCACCAGATGGCACTAGAACACCAATAGTTTTGCTTTTGAGCCCTGCCTTCCTCAACAAGCTTTAACCCCTGGCAGCCAGAGGGAACGAATCACAGATTCTAGGTCTGGAGTGTTCAGAGGGCAAAGTCCCTCCTAAAAAGGTAGACAGTGGATGGGCTCTCTGGCTAACCCACGTTTCTTCCCATGATGCCTCAGCACCAGGAGATGAGATCCCCTCATGCCACAATGTGCAAACAGCAGCCAGCTGTTGCAGGGGGAGGCACACAGCCTCCTCGCTCCTGCCTCTCCCCTGCCAGGCTGTGTGGAGGGCTGCTACATAACTGTGTCAACAAGAAACCCCAAAAGTCTGTTCAGGGACCAAGGAGTCCCTAGGGGATACATTAAGGGCTTATTTATTTATTTTAATCTGTTGAAATCAGCCTGTTGATTAAGTGGCTGGTCATTGCATCAGTGTCACCGGAGGTCTGAAAGTAAGGGAAGAGTGGAGTACAGTTGCTTCTGTGCACTCCGCATCATGTCCCTTTTCTCTGCTACAGCATCTTAACCATCTCCCAGGGCATCGCCTGCTGCCTGCTTCCCTATTTATTGACTGCAGGCTGGTCAGTACATCTGGGGCATAAGCAGGTTATGCAGTGATGTCAGGAACGGACAAGGTGGCCACGGTGATCAGCTGGGGGATAGTACAGCTGGCTGGGATCTTATCTGCACACCTGCCAAACTTTAGCCAAAAGGCTGTCAGGTATTCAGTATCCGGAAGGACCAGAGCAAGGACAAGGACCTCAGGATTAAGCCATACTTCGATGGCTCATGCCTGTAATCCTCGCTATTTGGGAGGCTATGATCTGAGGATCATGGTTTGGTGCCAGCCTGGGCAAACCTGAAAGACTCTTTCTTATCTTCAATTAACTAGCAAAAAGCCACAGGGAACATGTGGCTTAAGTGGTAGAGAACCAGCTTTGAGCGAAAAAGCTAAGCAAGAGCATGAGGCCCTGAGTTCAGAGCTCCAGTACCAGCACACAAATACAAAAGCTGTTAAAACAACAGCAACAACAAAAGCCCGTCAGGACTATTCCAGCTGCGGCTTCACGGGGCGCCATAGCACAAGGGGCTGTGGCTGGGTAGCAGACATGAGAGGCTCTGCAATTGCTTTCCTTGAAGTCATATAACTTTAGCAGCCATGGGAAAACAGAGATTTTGTATGCTGCCTGCTTCCTCGTGCTGCTCTTTTCCAAACTCAAGCCACATGTGCCTCTCTTCGGTGGACTCTACTGGCAGAGTCTGTGTTACACAGCTGCTTCCTGGCTGCAGGCAGAGTAGGACAGTCAGCCTGCTCCCTTGGAGACAGGTGAATGTCACAAAGCCCCTACCCAGCAAAGGTACTGGCAAACACTAGGTTGCCCTGGGCATGGCCATTACCACAGGGGTAAGCAGGTGCTCCATGCTGAACTCCGAGCCCATCCTGCACTCTGGCTGTACTTTCTAGGGGAAAGGAAAATGCTCCTTCCTCTGGGGTTATTTATGTATTTAGAATGCAAGTCCCATCACCTGGAGGATAGATTCCCCATTGAGAGAGAGCAAGAGAGAGCCAGGCACTGGTGGCATCTGCCTATAATCCTAGCTACTCAAGAGGCTGAGATCTGAGGATTGTGTGTGAAGCCAGCTGGGGCAGGAAAGCCCATGAGATTCACTTCTCCAATAAACTACTCAGAAAGTAGGGGTGCTGTGGCTCAAGTGGAAGAGTACTTGAGCACAAAGAAGCTCAGACACAGTGCCCAGGCCCTGAGTTCAAGCTCCAAGACCAGCAACAAAGAGAGAGGGGAGAGGGGGAGGATTCCCCCTGAGAATCAGGTAACACCAAGGAAAACAGTTTAGAAATAGAGAAAGAAACATCCTGATAAAATTATGCGGCAACTCTCCAAAGGCAACTCTCCTAGACACCAGTAGCCCTTGGACTTTTCAATGTGGAGCAATGAGCTCTCTTTTCTTACCTTATGCTATCTTGAACTGGCGTTTTGATTCTTGCAGCCAGGAGTCCTGGCTAAAGACTCCATGTACTGGGGCTGGCTCCCCAGCCTGATCCTGGGTGCCTGGGAGGCCAGAGCCTCTCCCAGCTAAGGAACAGAAGGCTCCTCTGTTAATGCCTGTCACAACTCTACATCTCCTCCGGGGGGAGCCTCATTCCCTACAGCCCGGCGGCCATGCCCAGGTGCTTGGAGGCCTGGACCCTTCTCCTCAGTAATAATAGAAGAGTTGACTATTGTTCTGGCCGACCCAGCAGCCTCAAGCCTAAGGTGGCTTCTGAAAGCACTGCTCAGTGCTTCCTGTCACCATTCATGCTGATCCCCCTGCACCTCGAATGCTCGCAAGCCACATCCCCTCTTCCCCCCCCTCACCCCGTGCATGTATTCATGCCTCTTTAAAGGGAACTTTGATTCCACTTGCAATAGCATGTTTGAGCAGCACCGCCTGCGAGACCTTCCACGACCAGCTTGGTACCTGGGCTATCATCCCACCGCAGCAGACTGAGCAAAGCTGCCCCAGTGCCAGCTGCAGACGGGTCCCAGGATGTCAGGAGCTGGTGCCAGAACCGCAAAGGCCCATTTCCACCGCACACGTGCAAGACTTTTGTGCTACAATTTGAAAGGAATCACCAGCCAAGCAGAAATGGTATCTGTTCCTTTCTACCGCCTAGGATAAGCAAGAATACATTTGCTTCTCTAATTTTTTTGTAAAGTAGGCATCACTTACCTTTAACATACTGGTCCCACTCTTTCCTGTAGTCTAAGTCCATATAGACATCTGCAAGGAGAGCTGGGCAGCAGTCTTCCAGAACACCAAAGACCTTATACTTAAAAAGACCAGAGGGCTACAGAAACAGAACAGAGAGAAAGAATCTATGGATGCCAGATTCCGCATCATAGGATAGACTGCTGAGGTCAGGGTGCATGCCATACCAAACATGGACTCCCTGTAGGCTCTTGGAAACACAAAAACTGTAAAAGCACATACGACCTGTGGTCATGGACCTTATGTTTAACTGAGGGCATGATGGCAGGAGCAGTTCTGTCAGCCGGGAGACTTAAGTAGGAGGGAGAAAGGGTTGCATGGGGGATGGTCCCTTGGCTGTGGGGGAAGGCGGTAGCGGGAGAAGGCACACAGGACAGGGCCTGTCAAAGGTGGACAGGAAGAAGCTCTAGTAGGAGGGTAACACTTTTCAGGGCCTTGTGTTCTAGATGTTAGCCAGTCACGTGATGATGTGGAAAGGCACTGCTGATAGGAGGAAAGGCCCTTGAGTCTCCTTAAAGAGCTTGGGGTATAGAGAATTCTAGATGGGAGGAAGAACGTTAAAAGCTGAAGTTAGGAGGTAGAGGGCCAGACGGCAAAAGATCCTGAAAACCAGGATAAGGTTAACTGGCTCATTGTGGTTACTATGGAAGAACTAATGAATGGCTTCAGATCACAGAGGTGGGGAACATCTGGCCCACGGCCCTCAAGGTCTCCAAAAGCATCTGGTCTGGTCCTACCATGGCAACTGTAGGCAGGTCAATAAATCTAGGCACTTTTTTCTTAACAACATAAATTTATATAGTAAATAGCTCATAATAATAACAAATTTTGGGCTTGGAAGGTGGCTCAGTGGTAGAGTGCTTGCCTTGCATGTATGAGGCCCTTAGCACCACATAAGCAGAAAAAGCCGGAAGTGGCACTGTGGCTCAAGTGGTAGAGCACTAGTCTTGAGCTGAAGAGCTGAAGGACAGTGCCCAGGCCCAGAGTTCAGGCCCCACGACTGACAAAAATAATAAAATAATAATAATAATAACAACAACAACAAATTTTGAAGGAAAAGCAAAGAACATCCAGAGACTAATTTCCCCATCCCTAAGTAGAACAACCAGATCTGATGAGGCATGTACTTTACATGTGACTGTCTCTGATTAGTTTTTTGTTTGTTTGTTGTTCTGTCGGTCGTTGGGCCTGAACTCTGGGCCTGGGCACTGCCCCTCAGCTCTTCAGCTCAAGGCTAGCGCTCTACCACATGAGCCACAGCACCACTTCCGGTTTTCTGGTGGTTTATTGGAGATAAGAGTCTCTGACTTTCCTGCCGAGGCTGGCTTTGAACTGCAATCCTCAGATCTCAGTCTCCTGAGTAGCTAGTATTACGGCATGAGCCACCTGCGCCCAGTTTAGCATTTTTTTTAAAGATTTTAAAGATGATTCTTAGTGCTTGCTAGAAAATAGATCAGAAGCAATCAGAAATGGCTTCAAAAGCCAGTCCAGTGGTTCAGCAAAGAGGCGATGTTCATTCCTTTTTGTTGTGTTTGTCCATTTATTTGTCTTTGAGAGAGGAAAGGAAAGCACAGGAATGAAGGGACAAAGGCTGAACAGATGCAGCAGGGTACTCACAGGACACCGCGTGGAACATGAACTGTACAACTTGTGGGTGGGGATGGGAAGGAAAAACTCAAGAGAGCGAGGAAAAGGGGGACACCGCCCAAAAAGAAATGTACTCTTCACCTGACTCATGTAACTGTAACCCCTTTGTAAATCACCTTTATCGTCACAATAAAAAAAAATTAAGAAAGAGATGGCCGTGACTGTGTCAGGAAGTTAACAGCAGAGGTTTACAGATGTATTCTGGAGACAGGACTTGCGGATAGGACTGACTGAGGGAGAAGAGACAAGAAAGAATCAAGGAGGGCGTTTTCTGGGACACTGTGTCGGTGGGCATGCCTTCTCTAACATGGAAGAAACCGGCGAAGAGGTGATCTGTGGGCCAGGAGGCCTAGAAAGTTGCATTTGGGGGGTTTGAGATGGTCATTAGACATCCAATGTTATGTCCTTAGGTAGAGTTCTGGAGAGAAAGGTTGTATTTTAAATATCTACAGAGTATAAAGAAAGAAAATATTTTAAAAAATCAATTCCAAGCAGAGAATTTTTCAACAGCTTCTTTTTGATTATGTACAAAGGCAGACTATGTACAAAGGGAAGAAACATCTGCTCCAAATCATACTAGTTTCCTTTGTTCAGAAAAAGGCATTTCTGGATACAAAGGACAAGAGTTTCCTGGCCTTCATCTTAGTCTACATCTTTGTCTGCAAGGGTCTGGGCTTGAGCTGGCTCCGTTACACCTGTCACTCTCTGGACAAGGGCAGTGTATAATTCTTAACCTTCATTGTGTTTAAAGGCTGTATGGTTAAGTGTAAGTCACAGGCTCTTACCTTAAAATCAGTGAAAACAGTAGGCAAAGAACACAAACCAATGAAGAGCTGTCAGAAAAGTTCCTGCTTCCACGCCTTGCTAAGGGGCAGGGGGGCTGTGGGGGGGAGGTGTCCTGTAACCACTTGCAAAAGAAGCCATCTTCTTTCTTTCAATGCTGGAGGCTGATACGAAATTAAGGGAAGGACATGGTGATTCCTTCCAGAGGGCCTCAGCATCAGGAGTCTCTAGCTAAAGTGGCATCATCCAGGGCGAACCACATTCCAGCTGAAAAATCCCAGAAGAAGGAGAAGGAGAAGAAGAAGAGGAGGAGGAGGAAGAAGAAAAAAGAAAAATGGAAGGGGAAATTGAAATTGATTCTATAAGGATCTAGCAGGTGAGCAAACCCATAGCTTGATAACAAGTCTCCATTGATGGGGACTTAAGCCTCCTCCCTTCTCCTGTCTGCCCTCTGTGCTCCCATTAGGAACATGGCTAAGGGTTTATACACAGTCACGCATGTACTCCCCTACACACACCATGTGTTTCCATCAACAGGAAGAGAGACAATTAGCAACTTGTTCTATATTGTTGAGTTCCTAGTCTATGCACGCTGGGCAAAAGGAGAACCTACGTGTTATGATAGTGATCTCCCCAGTCTCCCATGGTTTAGCTTGGGATATCTGCAGAAATGAATTACAACAAACTGTTTCCTTAACTGAGGTCCCTTCCCTTCCTGAACGGGGTTACAGCCTTTCATGACCCCAGTCCTATCTTAGCATAAAACAAGAGGAACAGAAGAACAGAAAGCCTTCTAGGAAGAGAAAAATAGAAGGGCCCTGGTTTGCGTGAATTCAGAAGAATGAACTATTGTGACAACTTCCTTTAAACAACCTTTTCATGGCAGAAGTGAGCAAAGCCAGACCCCCAGAGGAACAAAGTTCTGGGTAACACCTTTCCTAGTCCAGAAATACGACATTCTTTGCCAGTGCTGAAATAGTACAGCCCACACGGCTGGGTCCAAGCACTTTTTCACCGGTGATTTCTTTCTAAATAGGCTCTCAGCAAACACATTCTTCTTAGTTCATCTTCAAAATAGTAAGGTGAATTTTCAGTAAATATAAAAGCAGTTTCTATTCATTATAGGAAAACTTGAAAAGCATTTAAAGTTATATTTTAACCCATAATCCACAGCTACTATTGATCATACTGGATTTCTTTGAAGGGAATAAAAACTAATCTATAGGACCAAATAGAAATAATATGGTACAAACAGCTGCTACTCTTATTTATTTTTAACTCCATGATATGCTGAAGCTCTGGAGAATTGAATGGAACTGAATTATTCCTCAAAGATACTTGTTTCCAGATATTTGATGCACATATTTCCAGAGTAAGCATAGAATACTTGGTCAAATTTTCTAATTTTTATCCATTAGAACAGTGTCTTTGGAGAGGAATGTTTGGGTTACATGCACTAATATTTTAGGTTATTTGCACTTTCCATAAACCTTTAGGAAAGGTGTACTGAGCGTGGGCTGGGAATATACAGCCTGCCAGGACGAGGGCTCTGGTCTGCATGAACAATTTGATATAGAAAGGGCAAAGTTCATAGTACTGATGTGTAAGACCTCTTTAATATAGGAGGTACAATTCCTTTGCAATATTTTTTATATATGTTTTTCCAAAATTACTAACATTGCAGCAAATGACTCCAAATTAGCTTTCTCAAGAGACTTGTCTTTTTCCCTGAAGTTCTTCCCCAAACCACCTTTAAGGAGTATCTCAAATGGGGCACTGGTGGCTCATACCTATAATCTTAGCTACTCAGGAGGCTGCGATCAGAGAATCACAGAGAAGCCAGCCAGGGAAGGAAAGTTCAGCAGGCAAAAAGCCAGAAATGGAACTTGTGGCCCAAGTTCAAGGCCCTGAGTTCAAGCCCTAGGGGCCAGCACAAAATAAAAAGAGCATCAGAATTTCCTTCTCTAGAGAAAAATATATAGGGTACTTTTTTAATGTTCTCTTTATAAGACATTAACTTTCCTAAATTCCAAATAGTGAAAGGATTACATTGGTGGCAGACCATTAACCAATACCATATGCAGAATAAATTACCAAAAGAAGCAGAAGCACTGATATGTTATAAATCCCGTCTTCCTTTCTAAGAGAATTTCTTTGTAGAATGTGCACAGATAATAACTTTTCTAGTCTCCTCTGCAGGTAGGAAAGCCACATTCTCTGTTCTGAACATGGATAGGATTATTTTGAGCTACAGCAACTATTCTGTGATCAAGAGGCAAAAAAATAAAAGAAGGCAATATAAGACTCAGGGTTGATAGTATCACTGATTAGCCAAATCAACACCTGCTTACCTCTGAACTGTTAGGTCACAAAACTAAATAAAAACAATTCTAATGGATACAGTGTTGAATTGTCATCTTGGGAAATGGTGAGGGTTAAGAAACTCTCCTCCCAACACAAAGAATTGCCTATGTATCGCTGATCATACAAAATAGTATTTATTGAATGAACTCCAGGAAATGGAAACAACAGGTTTTGTTCTTTGTTGCTGTTTTCACTTTTCTTTTTGTCTTGTTTGTTCATTTTTCTGTAGGAGGGTAAGAAGAGACACAGAAATGTAGGGGAAAAGAGTAAACAAAAGCAACAATG